TTTGAGCCTTCATGGACCGAATATTCATTTCAAGTTTTTCATTCCTCAATAGCGGTCTCAAAATAATAATCCCAATCATTTTGGGCCATCATGGACCTAGTGTTCATTTTAGGTTCCATTCTTTGGGCCTGGCCATTTTCCATTTTAGATAATACTCCTTTTTTTTGGGAAACTATTTGTAGGCTTAGGCCCAAATAGCATAACTCAATTTTTAATGGGTTTTTTATATTTTGAATATTATGATACAATATACCGCTTTATGCACATATATATTTGTATGTATAAAAAAAAAATTGATACTTGCACATGAACTCGGATGCCTCCTATGTAGGGGATTCTATGCACTCTTCCTGGTATAACTACATTATGAAATGCAACATTACGAAACAAAAATGTAACGTAATTGTTGTATAAGCCATTTAAAAGCACACGATATATATAAAATAAAAACGGTATAAGAGAGGATTCGGGTTCACTTGCATATTACATGATAAATATAGAATGAAAACAGTATAAGAGAGAATCCGAGTTCTACAGTTCTACATTTTCTTGTGTAGATATATTTGTTTACTTTCACTTTTTTTGTGAAACGCCCACCAAAATATATTCCTGCCTTCTAAAATCTACAAATGTTTGTTTACTTTCACATTTATTTATTTATTAATTGTTAAATTTAATAAATTGGCCTCCCTAGCAAATCATTTCATTTCTTAATCTTTGTTCTATAATTCTTTTTCACAATATCATTGTATAACCCATTACTATTATTTCTCAACAGTTATTACAATTTTATCACTGTATAATGGGACAATTGTATATATATATATATAATTCATGCTAATAGCTCAAGGATTCGGGTTCACTTACATATAACATAATAAATATAGAATGAAAACAGTATAAGAGAGAATCCGAGTTCTACAATTCTAAATATAACGAATGTAAGAACATTCCGTTAGCCAATTACATTTTCTTGTGTAGATATATTTGTTTACTTTCACATTTTTTGTGAAACGCCCACCAAAATATATTCCTGCCTTCTAAAATCTACAAATGTTTGTTTACTTTCACATTTATTTATTTATTAATTGTTAAATTTAATAAATTGGCCTCCCTAGCAAATCATTTCATTTCTTAATCTTTGTTCTATAATTCTTTTTCACAATATCATTGTATAACCCATTACTATTATTTCTCAACAGTTATTACAATTTTATCACTGTATAATGGGACAATTGTGTATATATATATATATATATATAATTCATGCTAATAGCTCGAGTGAGATAACGTGCTGGCGCCTAAGGAAATATCAAGTCTAAAGTTCTAATGCAAAAATTTTTTGAAACAAAATAAGGCCATTGTTGGGCCAGTAGCCCATTCTGATTACATTTAAGCCGAAGCTTAGCCCAAGTTAAGAAAACCCAGTAGCCCATTCTGATTACATTTAAGCCGAAGCTTAGCCCAAGTTAAGAAAACCCAAAAGTTTTGTGCAATTACAAGTCTTAAACCACCACTATAACAGTTAGAGCTCACTAGTTCAGAATGGTGGAGCTAAGTCATACAATTCTTCTCAAGTAGTTCTTACATTCCGAACACGCTCTGGCTCAAATTCTCACTATTTATGACTTAATTTTGCCACTCTCACGTTCTCACTCTCGAATTCGCTCTCGCTTTCGAATTCGCTCTCGCTCCCGTTTCGCTTTATGTGACTTAGTGGTGGAGGAGAAGGCAATGATCATTTGCAATCATCACTGTCAAAATCAGTCTGGTGGTCTTGATGGTGGACGGATGAAAGACCCTAGAAGATCCCATTCCTCGACGATCTGCCTCGCATAGCTAGAATCTTTGACAAAGAAGCATTACATGTTTTTTCCCCAAACAAAGGCAATGGTTCAGTTGAGCACTACATTTGCAGATGGTGATGATCCTTTGAAATATCGTCAGCTTCCTAACAATGTTTCTTGGACGCCTTGTCCTTCCACAGTTGGTTGGCCCCACGCCGTGTTTGTATAAAGTTCCAAATGGCCGATACAAAAGGACATTGGAAGAACAGGTGATTGTGCGACTCAGGGTCAACAGAACAGAGGCTGCACAGATTAGGAGTGTGCCGATGAGCAAATGGCTTTCGGTCATAAGTGTGAAATTGTGTTTTGGAATGCCACGAAAGAACCAGGTGAGGTGAGTCCATGGGAGGGTGGGATGTGGAGAAATGGAATTGACAGTGTGAGGGTGGTGAGTAGGAGCCAGTTGGGGGAGGTAACCATTCGATTTTATAGTGGTAATGGGAGGATATTTGGATTACTGAGCTGGGGTATGGTGGTAATAATAATGTCGGAAGGAAAACTCCATGAAGAACCTGTGATGAAGGAACTAACCATTGTGTTGAGATCAAAAGGTGAGTTCTGAATTTGATCCTCTGATGATAGGCTAAGTAAAGGTCCGATGGAGTACTAATTGTCAAACCGGAAATTGGTGGACGTGCCATTACCGATTTCTATTTTGACAAAGGGCTTAATGGCAGGTCAAAGTTTGTGCCAAGTCCGGGAACACTGCTGTGATGTCTTCGACTGCCAAATGCATCTTCCTCTAACAAGGTATGTTCCAACTTCGAAACCCAGAGTGAAGAACAGTCTGTCCGTTGATAGAATATGCCAAGTCCACCAACGGAAATAGGCTTACAAGCAGTCGACCATGCAACTTTTGCTATATCCTTTTTGAGCTTCTGGACTGTCCACAGAAATTTCCCGAGAATACAATTCAACTTAGTAAGTGTGGTAATGGGGGGAATGATCTTTGTTGCCCAGAACATGTGCATACTGCATAGCATGGACTTGATAAGCTGAACCCTTCCTGCTAAAGGGAGTGATCTGCTGCTACTAGTGACTTTCTCAATAAGAACTTTGCAGTCCACTGGCTTCAATCTACCATTTCTGTGTGACTTTTGGTGGGGGTCTTCTTATCCGGCCGGTAAACGCTTTCTCAGGAAAAGAATCATCCCCAAAGACCTGTTATCCTTCACAACAAAGACATTAGCATCAAACTTCCATTTGAGGGAAGGGAATATCCACAGGCTTCAATCATACTTTTTGTTCATGCTTTAGGATAGTTTATTCTTTTAGAATTTTATTGGCTAAATTTGTTAGCCATTCAATTCTCACATGCTCTAGAGTTCCCAAAGTTTCTATTTGTATTGCCAGATTCTCTCTCTCTTATTAATTATATCTAACATTTTCACATTACGTTCATGGCATGTAATTTCTGCCTCAGGATGTTTCTCATTCAAGAATTGCTAATTTTGGTGGCAACTAAAAACTACGTGTTTTTTCATTTTTTGTAATACATTGATACTAATTACAAATTAGAGAAAGGATTTAGTTCGTACGTTAATAAGAAAACAATCTCAGAGGCATTTCTTTTAGAAGGATAATTGAAAAACGAAAACATATTGATAATAGAGTACTTTATGTAACATATTGATAATAGAACAGTACATTATGTATGTATAAAATTTCGACTTATCGGTCAAAGTAAAGTTAAAAAGTTCGACTAACTAGTAATTATCACTTGAATATTTGATTAGTAGTTAAAAAAAAAAAAAAAAAAAAAAAATGTGAATCAAAATAGTCACTGCATTTCATTGTTCCAAATTTGAATATCTCACAATGTCCTATATAAGGGATTCTTTCATCTTCACCATTTGTTGCAATGCCCATAAAAATGTCAATTTATTATAAGAAAATAAGTGGGTAGGCATACATTCTAGATAATTTGGTAGTCTAAGTATCAGTTCTAAGGTTCGACTCCTCTTGGCTGCAAACAATTCCTTGGAGGGGGATCGTATGAGTACCAACTAGGAAAAAAAAAAAAAAAATGAAGTTGGTAGTCTGCATCTTCATATTAAAAATCTTTGGAGGAGTCTCTGTGTGTGACTTTGTGTGGGTGAGAGAGAGAAGAGTATGCCAATGGGCAGATTGCAAGTGATTGAATTCATCTGATTCTGGCCCCAAGAATCTTCAGCTGGCCATCGTATTTTAATTATGGCGATGACTGGAACTACAAGTTAGTTTAAAGAAAGACAAAAGGAAAGGAAAGACTTCAAATAAAGAACCAATTTATGATCTTTATCAGTTCCATTGTGTCATCAAGTTAAGGTGAATATATATATATATATATATAGACATATACATATATATTTGCTTCTAAGGCTATGGCTTATTATTTCAAGATGTCACATCAACAGTTTAAGGGAAAGCATTTTTTTGCTAACAATTTAGAGGAAAGCAAAAATACAGTTGTCTTCTCCAAAAATGTTCATAAATAATATGCATGCCTGATTCAGAGCTAAATGTATTGATATAATGTGTTTCCTGGACTGTTAGCAATGAATTTGGCAAGCCCTGAATATCAAATTTTGTTACATTCAGAATAAGTTGAACACTAGCATCTGTTGTTTGAGATAACTACTGAATAATCCAAGCATCCTCAATATCACTGGCATGGTTTATGCAGAAGATTTGATTGCAAAATTATAAGGCTCCTGTTTTTTCTTGGTCCTGATTTGTTGAAATGCATAACTGCAAATTCTAAATTTGTAAGTTTGTTATAGACACCCGAAAAAGAAAAAATATATGAAAAAGAAAATGAAAAGTAAAAAGGACCATAACAACAAAAAAAAAACAGCAGCAGGAAAGGAGGGGAAGAAAAAAGAAGTCGTCTAAGTGAAGTGTAGATATTTTGGTTCCACAATCTTTTGCAGGCCTGCAGTTGGGATTAAACAAAAACAATCAACGACAATGGACGGCATGAAAGTAAATAAAGTGTTTTCTTCACTTGATTCAGTCTCTGCAGGGATTACTCAGTCTAAGCCTCTGAAAACACCATGTACGGTTAGGTGGAGCATTGGTGTATAAATTTACCCATGACTTGTGTGTAAACCTCATCACCTCCATTTCTCTTCATTATTAACCTTTTTTAATACCAATATCACAAAAAATATGATGGCAAGGCTATTAAGTGCATCCTCCATTTTCTTTTCTATCCTATTTCATGTAGGGTTTATTGTATTGGCCTCAGATGTCAAAGCAATTACCGCTTTTGGCTTCACAAATGAGACGGATAGGCAAGCCTTGCTAGCCATCAAGGATCAAATTCTTGAGGACCCCTTCAGGGTCCTTAGCTCATGGAATGATTCTATCTACTTCTGTAATTGGCAAGGAGTTATTTGTAGTCGTCGGCATCAGAGGGTGACCCTCCTAAACTTGTCTTCCCTAAAGTTGGTCGGTTCCATTTCTCATCATATAGGAAACCTTACGTTTCTTATAGACATTGATCTCGGAAACAACAGCTTCCATGGCACCATCCCTCAAGAAGTTGGTAGATTGTCTAGATTGCAACATCTTTGCCTTAACAAAAACTCTTTCGAAGGTGAGTTCCCTACCAATTTGACTCATTGCTTCAATCTGAGACTCATCGATATATCTGAAAACAATCTTGGAGGAAAAATTCCTAGCGAGCTAGGTTCATTGTCTAACCTCTTAGAATTGAGTCTTGCCAATAATCATTTCACTGGCAATATTCCACCTTCACTCGGGAATCTCTCTGCTCTTCTTTTACTTGATCTATATTATAACAATCTGGAGGGAAGCATTCCTTTGGAGCTTGGGCAGCTTTCCCAGTTACAGTTTCTTCAATTGTCTTCTAACAATTTGTCCGGTGTGGTTCCTACACCGCTTTACAATATCTCATCCATCATTTCCTTTGTCCTAGCTTCCAACCAATTACGTGGAAGTCTCCCTTCAGATTTGGGCTTCACCCTTCCAGAATTACAAGTATTTTATATGGGAGCCAACCAATTCTCAGGGAATTTTCCCCAGTCATTAGTCAATGCTTCAAGACTAGTACAAATAAATATTCCTCGAAATGCTTTTACTGGGCCTGTGCCAATGAATTTGGGAAGCCTTCTTTATTTAGAGCGGCTAATAATTGGAAGTAATGCACTTGGAACTAAGAAAGACGAGGGCTTGAGTTTCATCAATTCTTTAATCAATTGTACAAATCTAGGCCAACTTCATTTGAATGGCAATGGTTTTGGGGGTGTATTGCCAAGTTCCATTGTGAATCTATCAACCACGCTCACCGAGTTAAGGTTAGATAGAAACTTTATACATGGAAGCATACCACAGGGGATTGGGAATCTCATCAATTTAGAGCTTTTATCATTAAATCAGAACATGCTCACAGGCAGCATTCCTGAGTCTATTGGTCAACTCTCCAACTTGACAGAATTCTACATTTCTGAAAATAATATTTCTGGAAAAATTCCAACATCTATTGGCAATATTTCTCGATTAAGTTCTATTTCCACAGTAGGAAATATGCTAGAGGGAAGCATACCTGTTTCGTTGGGTGATTGCAAAAACCTACAGGGATTAGATCTTGGATATAATCATCTCACTGGGGCAATACCGGTAGAAATTCTTGATCTTCCTTCCCTTTCGCTGGGTCTAAACTTTGCTCATAATCATCTAACTGGTCCATTACCCCCACAAGTGGGTAACTTGAAAAATATTGCAGAGTTGGATATTTCAGGAAACAAGCTGTCAGGTGAAATCCCAAGCACTCTTGGCAATTGTCTAGTTTTGCAACTCTTGCGTATGGAGGGTAACCTTTTCAAAGGTACTATTCCATCATCTTTTAAACAATTGAGAGGTATAGAAGACGTAGATCTTTCTCACAATAATTTGTCTGGGGAGATTCCAAGTTTTCTAGGTGAGTTCTCATTCATTCAGAATCTCAACCTTTCATATAATTCGTTCGAGGGTGAAGTTCCATCTGAAGGGGTGTTCATGAATGTTACTGTGTTTTCAATTTTGGGAAATAACAAGCTTTGTGGAGGAATCAAGACATTGAAATTGCCCGAATGTCCTGCAAAAGTCTCACATAAAAAAGGAAAGTTATTTGGTCCTGGATTGATAATTATTGTGATCAGTATCACTCTCTCTGTTGCTTTGTTAATTACATGTGTTTGTGCTATTCTTTGTCTGACCAAAAAGACAAAAGCAAGATCCTATTCAGACCGTCAGTTAGGAAATTGGTATCCAACACTCTCTTATGCAGAACTTTTTGAAGGTACCAATGGATTCTCTTCTGCCAACTTAATTGGTGAGGGGAGTTATGGTTCCGTTTATAAAGGAATTCTTAATTCTGGTGAACAAGTTGTTGCTGTAAAGGTACTCAACCTCCAACAACGTGGAGCCAACAAGAGTTTCTCGGCCGAATGCGAAACAATGAAGAGCATTCGCCACCGCAATCTCCTCAAGATCATCACATCTTGCTCAAGCATATGTCTTAAAGGAAATGATTTCAAGGCTTTGGTCTTTGAGTTCATGCCAAATGGCAGTTTAGAGAGTTGGTTATACCCAAATTTCTCTGAACAACAGAATTCAAAGTACTTGGATCTAATCACAAGGTTAAACATTGCTATTGATGTGGCCACTGCATTGGATTATCTTCACCATCATTGTGGGACAACAATCATTCATTGTGATCTAAAGCCAAGCAATGTTCTTCTTGACAATGAGCTATGCGCCCATGTAGGTGATTTTGGTCAGGCAAAGTTTCTTCTACCCACCAATGGTAAATCTCATCAAACACAATCAAGTTCATCCATTGCAGTTAGAGGAACAATTGGTTATGTGGCACCAGGTAAATCTTTTCTACTTAGTCTTATGTATTCCAATACGTTCTCTCCCATTGCTTTCTTAAAGGTGATTTATTTAGCTGTGGACCCTAGGCTAGTGAAATTGGAAGGTAAGTAATAGAGACTTAAAAAAATTATTCTAAACCTCACCTTCGTGATTTGAAGATATGAATCTCTTGTTTTGTCACAACAAGGTTAGATTATTGTAACTTAAAAATATTTCATATCTATGCAGTGTCCAAATCTAATCCTTGGAAATAATTTAGAAGACATGTATTGGACATTTAGAATTCTAGCATTGTGTTAATTGTTTGGAATTGCAGAATATGGTATGGGCATGGAGGTTTCAACACAAGGTGATGTGTACAGCTATGGGATTCTCTTACTGGAGATGTTTACCGGGAAAAAGCCCACTGACAACTTGTTCAAGGACAATTTAAATTTTCATAACTATATTAAGATGACACTTCCAGATCGAGTGATGGAGATTTCTGATTCTGTACTCACATTGGAAGAGGGAGATGCATCAACAAGGAACAGCCTGTACAACATTGGTAGATTGGAGAAGTGCTTAGTGTCCATCTTCCAAATCGGAGTAATATGTTCTGCTGAATTTCCAAGAGAACGGATGGATATTAAGGATGTTCTAAATGAGCTGCACATGATTCGAAATGTATTTTTTCAGAAGGAAGACAGCGTGTAGGAGAAAGATGGAAAGTAAATATTTACAACTTATCATGTAACAATTGTAGAGTTTCTACTATATGAACTTTTATTTTTCGACACTACTATAGGAACTTTGATCATCAATTTGGTGCAACAGTGTAGCAAAGATTACATATTCAAATTCATGGCATGAAAAAAAGAATCTAATGTTAATAGAAAGGAGAAAGATGGAGTAATCAAGCATAATTGAATACAAAGTATCATATGAAAGATACTTTGACTTACAGTTGTGAGTCTTGTGACAATTTGGAGGATATTCTCACTTAGTTGTATTTTGCTTCTAGATTTGCAGCGGCTAAAGTAGTTGTAGTGTGATGTTTTGAACTAAAGCCTAAAAAATTGGTAAGCACTATAAATTACCGCATTGGAAAAACAGAAATTAAAAAATTAGTAAAAAGAACTGACCAAAAGCTATATCCTTCATAAGTAAACATGAGTGAACTGTAAAGCTAATTATGTCTTAATGATGATTGAGAGTATAAATTTTTGCTGAGAGATGAAAAGGAGCAGAAATGTACCTGTGGTAGCATTTGTTCGGAAACCAGATTAATTTATTTATGTTTTCTTCATACCAAACAATGAGATAAAATATCCCATTAATTTGAGAATATATCCAATGACCTTAAGCAAATTACCTTTTATTTCTGTTAGTCCTACGTTTTAAATGTAAGGACCAATAAGTTTTAGAAATTTTTTTTGGTGAACTGAGTCTTAGTTTTAGTAAATAGATTTCCGACAGAGTTCATTATTCCACTGATATTGGATTTTCCAATATTGCCATTTTTGTTGAAATATCATTGATGTCATTTTCTCATAAGAATTTTATGTCATTTTTTATACATCATGTTGGAAATTTACACACTTACCTTTAATCTTGGAATTATTTATTTTAAAAAATATATAAAGTAGAAAAAAATTATAGTATCCGATACCACCCATTCAACCCCAAATAATTGTAACAACACCTTTTTAAGTTGAGCTGGATTTCATTTCAGGAAGTCATATATGTTGGGGAAAAATTTAGCACCTATAAAATTCTACTTTAACCAAAAAACAAACAAGGAATATTTTAATTTTTTAATTGACAAATAATGCACATGCCCATTTTGAGAAATTGAAGAGATACCATTGGGTTACAACCATATGTCAGAATCATATGGCAAGTTATGTGTTGAATTACATAACTGCAAATTGAAAGTTAAAAAGGAACATAACAAGAAAACAGCAGCAGGAAAGAAGGGGAAAAAAAGGTGGTCTTGACTTGATTAAACAAAAAGAATAAAGTAAATAAAAAAAAGCAGCAGAAGATATGTGGTCCTATGCATGAATCTTTTGCAGGCCTGTAGTTGGGATTAAACAAAAAAGAATCAATGACAATGGACGGCATGAAAAGTAAATGAAGTGTTTTCTTCATTTGATTCTCTCTCTGCAGGGATTACTAAGTCCGAGCCTTTGAAAACATTGGTGTATAAATTTGCCCACGATGTGTGTAAACCCACCTCCCTTTCCCTTCATTATAAACCTTTTAATACCAATAGCACAAAAAAAGAAAGAAAAGAAAATGATCTCAAGGCTATTAAGCTCATCTCCCATTTTCTTCTACATTCTATTTCACACGAGCTTGAGCTTTATTTTATTGGCCTCAAACAACAAAGAGAGCACCGCTTTTGGCATCACAAACGAGACAGCAAACAATCCTTGCTAGCCATCAAGAATCTTATTCTTGAGGATCCTTTCAGGGTCTTTAGCTCATGGAACGATTCTGTCCACTTCTGTAATTGGCAAGGAGTTGTATGCAGCCGTCGGCATCAAAGAGTGACCCTCCTAAACTTGATGTCCCTAAAATTAGTGGGTTCCGTTTCTGTTCATATAGGTAACCTTACCTTCCTGAGACAGATTTTTCTTGGCAACAATAACTTCAATGGCACTATCCCCCAAGAAGTTGGTAGATTGTATCGGTTGCAACTTCTTTCACTTCACTATAACTCTTTCCAAGGTGAGTTTCTTATCAATTTGACTCGGTGTTAAACATCATAGTCATCGACATGGATACAAATAATCTTGTAGGAAAAATTCCAAGCGAGCCATTGTCTAATCTCTCACAATTGTATCTTTCCAAAAATCATTTCATTGGCAATATCCCACCTTCACTTGGGAATCTTTCTGCCCTTAGTACACTTGTTCTTGATTTTAACAATCTGGAGGGAAGCATTCCTTTCGAACTTGGACAGCTTTCTAAATTACAGTTTCTTCTATTGTCTTCCACCAATTTGTCCGGTGTGGTTCCTACCCCGCTTTACAACATCTCATCCATTAATTACTTTGTCCTACCTTCAAACCAATTACATGGAAGTCTCCCTCCAGATTTGGGGTTGACCCTTCCAAATTTACAACTATTTCTTTTGGGAGACAACCATTTCTCTGGGACTATTCCTCCATCATTACTCAATGCTTCAAGAATAGTGAAAGTTGATACTCCTGGAAATGCTTTTACTGGGCCCGTGCCAATGAATTTGGGAAGCCTTCATCTAGAATGGCTAAACTTTGAGCGTAACTCACTTGGAACTAATAAACATGACTTGAGTTTCATCAATTCTTTAGTCAATTGTACAGACTTAAGAGTTTTGCATTTTAGTAGCAACGATTTTGGGGTGAATTGCCCAATTCCATTGTGAATCTATCAACCAAGCTCACACAGTTAACAATGCATGGAAACAATATATACGGAAGCATACCACAAGGGATTGAGAATTTCATAAATTTAGAGGTCTTGACATTATATAAGAACATGCTCACAGGCAGCATTCCTGAATCCATTGGTAAACTCTCCAAGTTAGTAGAACTCTACCTTGATATAAATAACATCTCGGGGGAAATTCCATCTTCTGTTGCCAATGTTTCTCAGTTAAGTCTCTTTTCTTGAACAGAAAATTTGCTAGAGGGAAGCATACCAGCTTCTTTGGGTAATTACAAAAACTTACAGACGTTAGATCTTGGATATAATCGTCTCAATGGGTTAATACCCAGACAAGTTCTTAATCTATCTTCCCTTTCAGTTATTCTCAACTTAAGTCATAATCATTTAACCAGGCCACTACCACCACAAGTAGGTAACCTGAAAAATCTAGGAACTTTGGATATTTCAGTAAACCAACTGTCAGGAAAATCCCGAGCAGTCTTGGAAATTGTCTAGTTTTGCAGTCCTTGCATATGGAGGGTAACCTTTTTGAAGGTACAATTCCATCATCTTTCAAGCAATTGAGAGGTATAGAAGACCTAGATCTTTCTCGCAATAATTTGTCTGGGGAGATTCCAAGTTTTCTAGGCGAGTTCTCATTTATTCAGAAACTCAACCTTTCATATAATTCATTTGAGGGTGAAGTTCCATCTGAAGAGGTGTTCATGAATGCTACTGTGTTTTCAGTTTTAGGAAATAACAAACTTTGTGGAGGAATCAAGGAATTGAAATTGCCTGAATGTCCTGCAAAAGTCTCAGTTAAGAAAGGAAAGTTTTCTCCTCATAGATTGATAACTATTTCTATCAGTTTCACTCTTTCTGTTGCTTTGTTAATAGCATGTGTTTGTGCTATTCTGTTTCTAACCAAAAAGACAAAAGCAAGATCCTATTCAAACCACCAATTGGGAAATTGGTATCCAACACTCTCTTATGCAGAACTTCTTCAAGCTACTAATGGATTCTCTTCAGCCAACTTGATTGGCCAGGGGAGATTTGGTTCTGTTTATAAAGGAATTCTCAATTTTGGTGAACAAGTTGTTGCAGAAAAGTACTCAACCTCCAACAACATGGAGCTGGCAAGAGTTTTTTTGGCTGAATGCGAAATATTGCAGAACATTCGCCACCGCAATCTCCTGAAGATCATCACATCTTGCTCAAGCATATGTTTTAAAGGAAATGATTTCAAGGCTTTGGTCTTTGAGTTCATGCCAAATGGCAGTTTAGAGAGTTGGTTATACCCAAATTTCACTGAACAACAGAATTCAAAGCACTTGGATTAATCACAAGGTTAAACATTGCTATCGATGTGGCCACTGCATTGGATTATCTTCACCATCATTGTGGGGCAACAATCATTCATCGTGATCTAAAGCCAAGCAATGTTCTTCTTGAAAATGAGTTATGCACCCATGTAGGTGATTTTGGTCTGGCGAAGTTTCTTCTAACCACCAATGGTAAATCTGATCGAACACAGTCAAGTTCATCCACTGCAGTTAGAGGAACAATTGGTTATGTGGCAACAGGTAATTAATTATCATAAGTTTCCTACTTAGTCTTGTGTATTCCATTATACTCTCTCCCATTTCATTCTTAAAGGTAATTTATTTAGCTTTGGACCCTCGTGAAATTCATAGGTAAGTAAATGAGATTGAAATAAATTATTCTAAACCTCATCTTGGAGATTTTAAGTTGACTTTTTTTTTTTTTTTTTTTTGGCATAGCATAATTTAGAATTTAGAATACGTGTATTGGACATTTAGGATTCTAGCATTGTGTTAATTTTTTGGAATTGCAGAATATGGTATGGGTATGGAGGTTTCAACACAAGGTGATGTGTACAGCTATGGGATCCTCTTACGGAAATGTTTACTGGAAAAAGGCCGATCGATAACTTATTCACCGACAAATTAAGTCTTCATAACTATACTAAGATGACACTTCCAGATCGAGTGAGAGATATTACTGATCCCATACTCACAATGGGAGAGGGAGATGCATCAATGAGGAATAGCCAATGCAACATTGATAGATT